TAAATAAAATCTTTAAAAAAAAGAGTCCCATGCTCTAACTGAGCCAGCCAAGCACCCCTGTCCATTTTGGCTTCTGATTACAGGTGCTGATCCAGCCACTCTATGCCTCAGTCTCTGGATTCTTTTCCAGAAAACCCCAGACTAACATTCATTCTGGGCAGGCAGCTCTCTCCACCACCACCACCACCACCAACTGTGCCATTTCTCTCCTGTGATTCCTATGGGTCCTGTTCTCTAGCAAGGTTGCTCCGTTTTCTGTTCTGCCTCCTCTGCTGGGTTCACTTTTCCAACACTCCGCCCTTGAGCCTCTCCTCTCCAGACCCACACTCTGGCTCTGCGCCTTCTACACACCTCTCTTGGTGTCTTAGAGCCCAGCCCTTCTCTAATCAGCCCACCTGGAGACCCTCCCACTGTCGGAGGCACCACAACCCTCTCAGGATTCCACAGATGAAGAAAACCAGGGGCCAGGCATTCCTGAGGGCTTGATACGGGCCAGGCATGGGGGAAGCACCTTATATATTTTATCTCATTGACTCCTCACAACAGTTCCATAAAGTAGATTTTAACATGCCCAGTTTTCATGCAGGGACACCGAAGGTCAGAGATTTGGCAGTTTGCTCAAGATCCCACAACTAATATGTTTTAAAGTCCTAGTTGTGCCTAACTCCTGAGCCTAAGCAGTTACCCACAATACCAAGCTGCCTAGGTGGTCAGCTTGCACGGTCAAGCTCATGACCTTTAGGTCTGGGGTGGCACACTGGTGGTCTTTCTCCAAAGCACTCATCCTGTTGCAGTTCCTCCACCCGGTTACCGGCTTCCTCGTTTTCCCTGAGAGGAAGTTCCACGGTGGCTGGCTTCTCCTTCTTCCCTAGCCCAGGACCCCCCGGGAGGGTAGAGAAGAGGGACGTGGCTCTGCGATGGGAGCAGATGGGGGAGGTTTCTAGGCCCTCCATCTTCGGGAGCATGGGCCTTGGGATGGGAGCATGGAGGCCAATGACCAAAATGGGGACAGCAAAGGACCTGGGCTGGAAACAGGAGAGATGGTGCCACTGACTTTTGTGAAACACTGCTTCCTCCGAAGTTGTTCACTGAGAGTGTGCGGCAGAGGAAGCTGACTGCTGACAGCAGCAGCTGTGGAGGCGGCAGGAGCTGGAGGGGTGGCATTATCACCCTGTGGGGCGGGAAGGGGGATGGAGTCTCCTGCCTGTTCTGGAATCTGTCTCTCACCACCCCTCCCCCCGCCCAACACCCTCGGGCTCAAAACCCAGGAGGAGAGAGAGGGACAGACACCCCAGGAAGATGCACACACCCTGCCTCTCACACTCCTGCTCACATGCACACCCCCGCACAGATATGCACACGAGCGCAGACACACACACACACACACACACACACACACACTTGCAGGTCTCTCTTTCTCTGTCCCCGTAAGCATTGCACCACTGCTCTCCGGTCCAGCCAAAGTTGGAGTATTTCTGGAATGAGCAGTCTACTCCATGAGGATAAATCATTCTAAGCCATCCTTGGGCGCCTTTGAAGAAACTCGGGAGACAGAGCCTGCCCTCGGTGGGGTGGCCGGGAGGACAGCCTGGGAGCTGGCGACTGGTGTGTCACCGGCTGGGGCGGCGAGCTGTTTCCAGCGCTTTTGTCTGGTGCTGGGAGCAGGCTCAGCAGTGCGAGGGACAATCGGAGCCACTCAGGCGCGCTGCGGCGTTGTGTCCTGCTTTCCCTGTGGCCAGACCGGACTGCCGGAGCCCCCAGGCAGGACCGAGATGTTGTCTTGCTAACCTGAGCGCAGAAGCTCGGGTTGCTTTTACCAGCAAATGTTTCTGAGAGCAGTGGCAGCAGCCTTGGTCCCCTGGCCGGAGAAACACTAGCGGGGACTCAAGCCCTGGCCCTTCATCATCCCAAGGAAGCCCCCAGCCCCTTTCCGAGACCTGGCGGCTGGGCTTGCCTGTGACCCTGGGTCTGCCCCCAGGCTGGGGCTAGGGGCCTGAGCGCTAGCGCTGGGGGTGGGGAGCAGGTGCGTGGCTGCTCCCCTGGGCTTGCTGCCGGGCTCACGGTGCTGGCTTCGCCAGGATTGCTTCTCCTGCCTATGCCGTGTTTGGCTCTTGGGCGTCCACGGCTGAGCTGCTAGTGGTGAGTACTTGGACAGATGTCCCTTTTCATGTTCACCGGCCATGCCCACATGAGTCACAGTGGCTAGCTCTGCAGCTTTATTTGCAGAGACTAGACATGAATTTGCCTCACCTCATGCCAGCTGGGTGGGGTGGAAAATCTAGGGAGCAGGGCCAACCCGGGGTAAGGAGGTCATGCACCTGGGGCCGCAAGTGTTTTTCAAAGGACTAAGGGAACCCTGGAAGGAGAAGTCTGTCTCACGGATTCCCTCTCCTGGTTGGGTACAGATGTGTCTAAGAGTGTGTGGAGGAATGGCCACTCCCAAAAGCCTGCTCCTCCCAGGTGTTTCAGGCTTTGGGACCAACTTGTGCTCTTGCTGCCCAACCCCTGCTGGTTGAAGGGCTGAGTGAGGTTCCCCTCTTCTTTCCTGCCCCGTGGCTCTTGTCTCCTCCCACCGTGACACCGCCACCCTGGGGCCAGGGGAGAGGGCCCTTCAGGTCTTCTCCTTGCTGCCTGGACGCTGGGCACTGGGACGGGAGCACGTCTCCACCTCGAATGTGCCAAATGAGACACGGCGAGGCTGGGGAGATGCAGGGGCTTGGGACCCAGGGGCTCTCTGTTAGAGCTCCGTTCCCTGTCTACCCCTCTAAAGGGTGGTTCTTGCTGCTCACGGATATGTTTTCAGCGTGGACCGCCTCTGGGAATAAGGAGGTCTGGGAGGCCACCACATGCTGCATGAAGTCATATTTCTTATATTCCTACATAGGCCCTCAGCTGTCTCTTTGGACTCCACAGGCAAATGCCCACTTTCTAGCATTCCACAGGTGTCAGTGGTCATGCTTTCTGCTCCCTTGGGATTGCACAGTCTTTGCTTATATCTGCATGAGTTTCACACAGTGAATGTGTTCGGACACGATGACTTCTGAGGTCCCTTTGGGGAACTTCTCCAACTTTCTGGAGATCGTGGGGGGATGACTCTGTACCCCATGTCCCATTATACTCCAATCCTTTGGGGCCTGTCTGAAATCCAAGGCATAGCTGGAGAACTGTGATTCTGACTCATTTGAGAATTCTGATCTTATGATTCCCAAATCATGGCATGGGGCGGGGGCAGCAGTGTGTGGTTAGGGTGGGTTTTCTCAATGGTGGTGCCATTGACTTTTGGGGCTGGATAATTCTTGGTGGGGTGGGGGGACAGTCTTATGCCTTTTAAGATGTTTAGCAGCATCCTTGGGTTCTACCCACCAGGAGCACCCTCATTTGTGACAACCAAAATTATCTCCAGACATTATCAAATGTTGCCCCAGGGACAAAATTAAACCCATTGAGAATTGCTGGTTCAGGTTAATGCTGCTCCTGATATGCTCTCTCCTTTGGCCTCATGGGTGTGGGTCCAGTGTGGCCAAGTGAAGTGTAGCCATCTCTGGCCTGGGAATGCAGACACCTGGCCTCTGGGCTTGGAGTGATCTTGCTTACATTCCCACCCAATCTGGCCTGAGAATCACTTCTAGCCCTCTCCTGTCTCCACCAACTTCCAGATCTTCCTAGTAGAAACGCTGTGGTGAGGCTCACAGGGGCCTGGGTAGGGCCTTCCCTTTGTGGGGATGAAGTCTGGGAAAGAAAATCCCATTGCAGGGTTTCACCATTTCTTCCTGACATTTGCCCAAAAGCCAAGAGTGGCGTGGAAGCCAGGATGGGTTCAGTCCCCAGGGCAAGTATGAATGCACACACACGGGCACATGTATACGCACACGCACTTGCTTGCAGCTTTCTGGATCCTGTACTGAATGAATGATGTGGAGGCGAGCCCTGCCTTGGGAAACTTGCAGAGTGAGGTGGACATCCTATTATGTACCAATAAAAAAATAAACCAACTGAAAGGATTCTGTGCCTTGTTTGGATTGTTTCATCCTTCTAGGCAAATTATTTCTGAGGAAGAACAGACAAGGGGAGAAGAAAGCTCTTGAGTTTCTTGTTTATCAGAGTCTCTGTGGGGTCATGGTGGTCTTGCTCTTTATCAATCCAGGAGGACTTCCTGAAGGAGGAGATATTTCAGAACCTATAATGTGGGTGGGAGACAGCATGGGGTGTGTGTGTGTGTGTGTGTGTGTGTGTGTGTGTGTGTGAAAAACCCTTGGACCTTTTGCTGACAGTGACTTTGGGGGGCAGGTAGAGAAGTTGGCTAAGGAGTGTCCTTCCTTCCTCCTTGAGTAACCAAGGTGCCAACCCTTTTTCTCTATGCCTCCCATGTACTCTGCTGAAACTTGTCTTCAGCTGGAAGGTAGACTCGCCCCCAGCACAGAGGAGGGACTTACAGAAAGCCCCATGTTGCAGAGAAATTATGGCCAAATTCTAATTTGTGGATAGAGCAGAGAAGTGCTTCAGGTGGCACAAACCAGCAAATCATCGCCTAATCCGCCTGCTGGGCTTTGAAATGCCTCGTGCGATCCATTTGCAGCAGATTATGTCTCCTAATGATGCTTGATTCTGGTGGGTAGGTTTACAGGCTCCAAACGAATGGCATCGACACTGCAGGGGTGCGGGGGTGGCTGCACGTGCCGCCTGGCATCTCTAGCCCCAGATGAGCCACAGCTCATCGTCCTTGTGCCTGAGTCTCCACGCTCTCCACCCAACTACATGGACCGTTTTCCCCAGCAACTCTCTGGGAGCCTTTGACCTTCCATTTTCCTGGCCCCATCTCCCTCAGCGAGCCAGTTTTCTCTGAAAAGCTTGATGGGCCTCGGATAAGGGGAGAGAAATCTGATTATATGGGGAGTTTGGGGGCAATAAAGACCTCTGTGACCTGCAGCTTTTGAACCTATAGTGTTGTGATGCTCTGAGCTTTGCGGTGTCGTGGTCCTAAGACAGAGCCGGGTACTCACCGACTATTCTGTTGTTCTGAGCTGGCTGGTCTTAGAGGAACACAAGGCTCGCGGGCAGGGCCAGGCCTGGGTGTGTGACATTTCCAGGAGTTCCATGAAACTCATCCACTGTGGAACAGGGACAGAGAGGTCACTCAGAAGGACAGAGGCCTTGTTGCTCCCACAGAGGGCGCACGCATATGTATGAGAGACGCGGCACAAACCAGGACGCCCGCCTGGGGTCTTGGTGGGCCATTTCAGGGTCATCTTACAGGGGAAAGTCACGATGCAGCTCGGCACGTGGGACCCTTCTCCATGCCAGTGAGGCCTGGCAACATGAGCAGCAGCCCTAACACAGCCCCCTCTGGCCCACCCGCTGCCTCTGCGTGGCCGCTGCGAAACACTGGGGAACGGCAGGGCTCTGAGCCTGGGAACTGGATGCATGGTCACAAGAAGCTTCTGAGAGGTTCACAGATTCCCAGCCAGTCCCCCGAGTAGTGGCCAGACTCTGTCAGACTCTGTCAGAACGTGTGCCGTGTGCTGGTCAGAGGCAAAAAAGATTTTTTTCCCCATGGGGAGCAAGGAGAGAGAGATGTGGAGGGGGCATGCGGAAGGGGCTTCTGCCCATGCCATCCGTGCCAGTGAGCAACAGGAACGCTGCTGGCCAGCCCCAGCCTGGGAGTGACGCTGAAAGCTTAAGCAGATGTGATTCCTCCTGAGGAACGAGACTGAGGGCAGAGCCCACCTCTCTGGGAGCAGGAGGCTACATTCATCAGGGCGTCCATTTCTTTATCCAACTTTTATGCAGCGTTTGCCAGCCCTGCACCAGGTGACCCCATCTCTGGCTTCCCAGAGCTCACGGCCAAGGGCAGGCTGGAGGCTGACTGAGACGTGGTGGCCCGCACACAGCTGTGGGAGCCCACTTGAGGTCCAGATTAATTGGGTTTTTGGCTCTTCTCCCAGCAGAGCTTTCCAGGCCACACCCCAAGGCTTTTAGGGAGATAACTGAGATGCGGGGTCAAGTCCCAGCTGGATGCGGTGGAGCTGTTCCCAAACTGCCAAGGGGCTTGTTAATCTCTGCCCCCCAGGGCTGGCAGAAGTTTCCTCGGTGCCCCTTGATTCTCTGCTCTCAGTTAATTGCTCTTCACAATCTGTTTGCTCCCTGCCTGCCTTTCTTCCCCCTGCTGTGGTCTGCCTGTCCAGCTTTGGGACCGTCCCTTCCACCCCACTTGCCCATTCGGACCCTCCTGTGGGACCCACATGGCTGGTGTTTCTGTAGGGCCTACCTGAACACACGGAGGATAGAGAGGGGGCGTGTTAGATTTTGACTGTGTCTGGTGTTTTTCCTCTCCTTCAGCTCACCTTCACGTTCTCCTGTTCCACGGGGGGGGGGGGGGGGGGGGAAGGGCTCTGAGAAAGGGGCTGTTAGTACCTGGTTCTACCATTAAAGCCCCGAGGCTTGTCCCTTACATATAAAATAAAGGGGTGTTCTAGATAGAGCAGGGGTCCTCATCGTTTGGTCCTCAGACCAGCAGCATCAGCAGCACCTGAGTGCTTGGTAGGAATGCAGATGCTCAGGCCTCCCCCCAGACCACTGAGTCAGAAAGGCGGGGTTGGGGACCAGGAACCTGTGTTCGACATGCCCTCCAGGTGATGCTGAGGCAGCTCACGTTTGAGGACCCAACAGTTCCGTAGCACTGGGCCCCTCTCCAACTGCAGTTCTATCGCTGAGCTCATCATTTCCCACCTTGCAATAAATAGTGACTTGCAAAAATCCCGTAGCCACATTCTGGAGCACGGCCAGTCATCCTGAGGGTGTCCTTAAATTCTCAAAATTACGGAAAAAAAAAAAAAAAACAACAACCCCAAATCAAATCGAAACAAAGCCCACTATTCATACCCTACCTTTTTTTCCAGAAAGGGCTTAAGGTGGTTTCCATCCCAGTGTCTTTAGGGAGGAGCCCGCAGAGGTGAGCCGTAGTCTAGTGAACAATAACAGGGCGTCTGCAGTGTGGGCCACCGCCCTGAGAACAGCCACCGCGGGCTGCCCCCCTTGCAGGATGCCCCACTCGGATCCTTTCCATGCGCTCCCCCGCGCGGCGGGGCACACAGACCTGCCCCAGTGACTTCAATAATTCCTCTCTCCCCGGAGGAGCAGAATGCCCTAACATCTCTCTCCTGCTGCTGGCATTTAGCCCGTTGCCAAATTAATTCAAGCAATGCTAATAACCAGTTTGCCGGTGAGAAGACCTCTTGCAGACCCCTAAATTCTCCTCGCCGGGGTGCTGATAACAGCCTAGGAATCCTGTCTGGCCACCTGCAGTCATTCACAAAACAGCGCGGGAAAGGTCTGGCGCTACACTGGATTCTGTGATGAAACCAAAAGAAATAGAACCTTTGTCCCCGCCCTCTGTGAACCATCGGTCTAGCAGGGGGGCCATGCCGCCGTCCACAGCGTTTAACACGGGCTTCCTCCCTCCCCCTGCAGGCCTTTCCCCTGGCCCAAAGCCTCTCTCCTTCCTTGGTGCAGACAGATGGCATCAGTTTCCTGGAGGTCCTCAAACCCCCGCTGGTGGGGCTCCATCGGGTCACGCTCAGCATCCCACTTCGCGGTGGTTCTGTGAGCGGCCGGGCCCCAGCTGAGACCTTTCCCGGCCTTTCTCTGGTCTCCAAGGAGCCTGCAAGAAATGCAGCCTGAGAAAACAGCCTCCCTTCCCTCCCCCCACTGCTCTGTTCTCCCTGCCCACTCCCCCAGCTCCCCCAGGCTCCCCCAGGCCTGCAGCTCCTGCCCTCTCACACTCATGTTTTATGCAGAAACATCCCCATTCTCATGGAAAGTGCAGCAAAGTTGGGGAAGGAATTCCAAATCTCTTTTGAAGAGGGCAGAGCGAATGCAGGGTTATGGGGGTTAACCTCCGCTGAGAGTGCTTTCCTGGCTGAGTGGATGCCCCTGTGTGTGTGTGTGTGTTTGTGTGTGTGTCCCCCTTGTGTCCCTTCTGTCCACCGTTTGCAGGGGAGGGGTGGGGCGGGGAGTGGGGGAGAGGACCGACACACACAGACACCCACTTTTGTCCGGAGCCAGCCTCACCTCCCAGTGCCCCATCCGGCCTCTCCTTCTGCTTTCTGGGGAGCACCAGGAGAGTCTTATTTTGGATGTAAATATTCTCAGAAATTTGGGAGGCACGGGCAAAAGAGATGGTATGTTTTTTCAAAGAATAGAAAATGAACATACATATAAACTTTCTTTTGCTGATTTTCACAAAATCGGATGCTCCTTTGTTTTGAACATCAAAATGGTTGTAGATAATTGATTTTTTAAAAAAAATAAAATTAGCTTGCTGGGTATGTCAAATTCCTACAGTCTATCCTTGCTAATAATTCTAAGTTTCCTGTGGTAAAAGCACCCGCCCTTTCAGAAGCCTGGCATCTCTTCTCTTATGATCGTTTTTTTAAGAAGTAGTAAAACCTTGAACAGAAGACTCCATCCACAATACACTTAGAACAAGACAAAGGACAGTATTATGTTTTCTGGACTTGCTGCTGGGAGGAACAGAAAAGCACTTATTTTCAGGAAGGGAATTGTGGAAAGAAAGAAGAGGGAGACCTTCCAATCTCACTGGACACAATTTGCTCCACAGAACTTTCTCTAAGCAGCCTGATTCTCTGAGCCCTCACCTTGAGTCATTCTTGATTTTTCCAGCACTGCATTTTTATGGTCTTCCCAGAGTCCTGAAAACTGAAGATTCGCCTAGATTGAGATAAGCAGCTCTCCTTTTTCACCTGTTTATTTATCTCTTGATCTGCACCATGTTTTTTCAAGTATTGCTCCATGTCTGTCACATGCAGTAAGAGAGTTGGGGGCAGATTGGAGCATGTTGGGGGGATTTGCTTGGGACCCCCCCAGCTTTCCCTAGACCCAGGCCTCCCAGTGATGCCCACTGTCTGCAGCACTGGGCAGCTGAGGCATGTTTTCGTGGCTCAGTCGGGTGCTGTGGTCATTCTCTTCCCACCTGCCCACGGATCTGCCTCTGAATCCTGGACCCAGGGCTTTCACAACAGTTTGAGCTGCTGAGGACAAAATTTTCCCCATACTTGATTCAAGCAATTTATTTTACTTTCCTCTGTACTTATAAGTGGAAATGCATTTGGATTCCCGGGAACAATTGATTTTTCTGGAGGTCATTTAGAAAGGAATGTCAAACAAGGTGCATCATTATATCCAGATGAAAAGATTGGTGTAGTTCATTTAACATAAAATCTTACTGCATAATTTTTAGAAACGGTTTGGAAACATAAAAATACTCCATCCTCAACACTTTATTCATTCTGAAAAAGTTTTAGAATCCAGAAATATATTTGAAATTATCTATTTCAAAGAAGTCCTTGGGACCAAACGGGGGGGGGGGGGAGGATTATTTTTTCCCCCTTATGTGTTTCTTCTAGGCCTTCACATTTTCAGTCTTGTCCCTGGGGAATCTCTTGTGTTGAGCAAATTTAGAATGAAGTCTCCCTTCCTTGTTCCTCCTCTGTAGCTTCCTTTGTCATTATTTTTAAAGAAAAACATTTGGGATGCCTTCAGAATTCTACCATGGCTTTTTGGCCCCAAGTGTATTTGGTTGGAGCGAGGGAACCCAAGAGTGTCAGAGAGGGAAAGAGTAAAGAGATGAAGACAGGGGCCCAAACCGAAGACCACAGATGGACATAAAGAGACATGGACAAGGGGCGCCTGGGTGGCTCAATCGGTTAAGTGTCTGCCTTCAGCTCAGGTCATGAGCTCAGGGTCCTGGGATTGAGCCCCACATCCGGGCTCCCTGCTCAGCGGGGAGCCTGCTTCTCCCTCTCCCACTGCCTCTGCCCCTCCCCCAACTCGTGCTCTCTCTTTCTCTCTCTCTCAAACAAATAAATAAGATCTTAAAAAATAATAAAGAGACATGGACAGATTGGCAGTCCCACCTGACAAGTGATAAAGAGGACTTTAGTGGCAAACCCAGACACCCTCCGAACAATGAGCCTGTCCCCTGGCCATGACGGGTGGGGGAGGCTCTCCAAGCACTTTGCCGTGCATCTTCCTTCGCTGTGGGTGTGGGGAGGTTGGGCAGGCAGACCAGAGAGGAGCGCCCCCTCTGAGCCCTTGGACCAACATTTGCAGCTTCCGATACCTGGAGGATGACCCTATGTGAATGAATCTATGGGGGCCACTTAGAGGGAGGCAGCCAATGAGAAGGGAGGGGGGAAGGTTAGTTGGAGAATTACAGGCAAACCGTCTGAAGCAGAGCACTACAGGATGGTAAGGGTGGCTTCTATCTGCCTTGCCAGCCATTTATTGATTTACCCCTCTTCATAGCAGGACCGCTTAGGAGGCTGCTGAGTTAATGTCTTTCTAGGGCCAAACCCTGAGGGTGACCTGCCCTTGCTTCTTTGTCCTCCTTTCTCTTTTCCCTTCATGTACCACGTTCCCGCCACCTTCTCCCCTTCTTCACAGGGCGGTAATGGGATTCGGAATCATAATAGCCACCAATTATTGAGCAGTTACTAGATGCTGGGCTGAGATGAACTGCCTGAGTCTTAGGTTCTTTTTGGTCAGCTTGAGTACTTCCAACATTTAAGGGTAAGTGAGGGCTATGGGCCCCCTTCACACCTCACTACCAGGTTGCCAGAAAAGGCAGTGTCAGGCCACATTCTATCTCTCCATGTTGATTAGTGAACCAGCACAAAACAGTCGTACAACCTGTTCTGGAAGTTTGAGGAAGTGCCCGCTCTCTGCTCTTTTCAGTGGGCCAGCAGCACCTCGCCTGAAAGGTTCCCTTGAGCCACATGTCACAGGATTTGGCTAACCATCTGGTGTGTGGGGGGGTCTGAACCTTGGGGGGCATGCTAACCAAGTTGGGGTTTTTCACCCCAAAGAAAAGCTCATAGGGAGGGGGGCCTGAAGAATGACTCAAATGACTGACTATTTTTAACAGTAGGATGATTTATCTTTTCCTTTTAACTTTGAGATATAATAAAATAAATACAGAAAACCACAACATAGGTGTCTTAGTAATGGGTTTGTGCCTCACACCACTGCTCAGGTGCAGAAAAAGAACACTGGCAACCACTCCAGAAACTTCTCTGCATTCCAATCTCAACCTCCCCGACAAGGCAGCTTGACTCCCTGTATGTCTTTATGGTTTGTTTTTGTTTCCATGATGATTTATTATACGAAAGAGGTAGGGCCTCAGCTTCCTGAACCCAGAACAACCCATAATTCATTGAACCTACAGCAGGAAAGATTAAAGTGAGACTGCATAAAGAATTTAGAATACTAGAAATCAGTGACAATGAGCTAGAAAGAGAAAGAAAATCCATGCAGTGACTGAGATGTGGTGGTTCTGGTCGGGGATGGGGAAATAGAGATCACCCCAGTCCTGGGGCTGCCGTCAAAGGGTTAGGTGGGCTGATCAGCAGGACATTGGGAGGCTCTGTGGTGGGGGAGATGGAGACAGGTGGCACTTCAGCCCACAGCACCCTGACTGGCTGGTCTCAGAGGTCACCTGGTGTCTTCTGTGACCAGAGGCCTGCTCTTCCTCCTGAAGCCTCTAATCCTGCCATAGCCCATCAGAGAGAGTGACTCTTGAAAGAAGGAATGACCAGCTGCGGGACAGGCCTGGGATCTGAGCCCACCCCATTCCTGGGTGACCAGGGCAGCCGAACAAACACACTCTGGCTCCAGGCCCAAGGGACACCAGGCAAGGTGCCTGGAGGAAATGGGGCAGTGGAATAAGAGGAAAGTGAATGGCCTCCCTGCTTTCCCTCCATTCAGTGTGTGGTTTCCATGGGGCCCCAAGTGTGTTTACAGGCAGCAGACCTGAGTGGGGGGAGCACAGGGGATTGGGGCTGCAAGCCTGCAGGGACAAGAAAAGGAGAACTAGGGGGGCGGGCAGAGATGGTGGGGGCACTTGAAAAACCAAATGAAAAGTTGGCTGTCGAATGCTTTTTGCCAACCATAGTCAATTCTTAATTATCCCTGTAATGGGAGGGAGCAGTGGTAAGAATGATTCAAAGCAGCAAATAATCCCAAACCATTTAAGCTACATGATTTTTAACAGAGAGAGAGGAGATTTCCCTTCCTAATGATGTCTGGCTCAGGCTGATGTTAAATGAGAGAAGTATTAACAGCGAGCTCCCCAGGGATCAAGGCTAGAAGCAGTCTTACTTAACATGTTTATAAATTATTTAGAGTTCACATTTCATGATTTTGTGAACGGGTGCAGGGAGGGGGCTGTAAGTCCTCCCAGAAGCCAGAGAAAACCCTCTTCCAGGGATTATGCCTCTTCTCCTCTATCTGCTGTCAGGATTCTGTTGA